TATTTATGTTATATATATATATATATATAAAAGATAAGTTGAGAAAGTATGAAATTGAAGTGCACTTTATCCAGTAAACTATCATTTACTTCTACAAAGTTGATGAAGATGTGATATATCTATTCTTACTTTTGGTCCTTTTATAAGAATGTTTTAGAAGTTTGTATTGTTCTTTTTATAAAATCTCTTGCAAATATTTGTCTTTTGCTTTATTTTTATTTCTATATGAAAACATCCTTAAGTGAAAACCACTAATTAATTAGTTGAAACAAGATTATGAGATTAAATTTCAATAATTTTAAAGGTAAATTTTAAAAAAATAAGTAAATTTCATAATTACTATAAATCGATCGAGAGAGTCTATAACTGTTAAATAAAAAGGATTTGCTTGTATTTAGTTTTACATTTTTCTCTTTAATTTGAAAATGTCATACTTCACATTCATCTCCCTTCATTTGTTGACTTGAACCTCTATTTTTTCTCTATAATAATTTGAACACTATTGATTTTGAGGTGTTGATTTAATTATATGATTAATTACATAATTTGTGTTATTTAGTTGTTAGGTGTTATTGAGAATTTTAGTGGTCAAGGAGATCTGGAGAGTTAAGTTGGTCTTTGAGATAATTAAATCAAAATTATTTTAGTTCAGCTTGAAAAATGGCTTAAGATGTTAACCTCATAAATTCAAATATTAAGAAAAATTATAGAGAAGTTAAAGAGACTCTCTAGAAACTGAATCTTCCTTCTCTTCTTTTTCTACTAAATTCCTCCTTTTACACTCTTCCATAGTTGATCTAGAGTGACTAAGTTGAAAATTCAAGGTCATAGCTGAGAATCTTAGCTAGTGAAAGTCATACGACAACCTAGAGCTCTTCTTTTCCTCCTTTTTTCTCTTGTGCTTGGAGTTGAGGTAAGAAAAGCTTTATTGGTTGAATTGTAATGTTGTATAATTGTTGTTTCTACTGCCTAAATTCATTATTGTCTGATTAAAGTGATGAAAATTATGAATTGTAGTTGGAGAAGTGCTCTTGAAGGTGTTCTCGAGTAATTCTGATTTTGGATGTTTGCATGTGTTGTTTTCAATTGATTTGGTGTTGCTTATGGTGCATATATGTTGTATGTTGGTTTGCATGTTATTTTGGTTAGTTGGCTAGATTGCAGGTTTTGAGACATTTGGTGGTTCTGCTATGTGCATAAATGAGCATCACATTGAGCACGCCTTCATTACGTTGGGCATGGCTCAAGTTAGTGGGCTTTCTGCACTGATCACGTCAAAGATGAGATTGGTATTGTCGACGTGGATCAATGAGGAATCCTTTGACTTAGTCACATCAAACGTGGAATAAGTGGCATCAAGTGTGAGAACTT